TTTGGTTTGAGGTAAAATATAGATGGGAAATAAGTGACAATTACGAAAATATCCCTATTATTAAAATTTTTAAAACGAAAAAGAAAAAGAAATAGTTTGGAGATCAATCCATTCTTCTTCTCGATCGTCATATTTGATATGGTGAAGCTTTGTTTCTTTGTTATAGCCATCGACAAGACCACGATACCAACTTTGGTCCAAAGGTCAAAAGACCTTATTTCTATGGTTGAGTACCTGATGTGCATCCATGTCATCTAACAATATTTCATAAAAATGGCACCTCTTCCTGGAATTACCCTTTTCTTTGTATTGTTTCCTAGGCCTCAAGGCTCTACCAGCAGTATCGACTGATGCCGATCCTGAACCCAACCGAGACTTTGACCCATGATGATTTAGCTGCAGAAGCAAAACAAAGAAAAATGGTGAGGGTATATTTGGTATGATTTGTTGTGGCCTATGTGATTTAGCTAGCTTTCATCAAAAAACCACCTCCCACTTTACTTTTTAAACAGTACCGATGCATAGTTAAATGGGGCAAAACTGAAAATGGTATGCATCATGTTTCCCTGGGTATTGCTTCTTTTCTCCCTCAACCAAACACATGCTTCCCATAATCCCAACATCATTTGCATGGGCAAATTTAAAAAACCCCTCAACCAAACACCACCTTATAGTCTTCTTGAGAAATTCTTGTGTAGACTTTGTCTACAAAAGTTGTGTGATTGTGAGGACTAAATATGGATAATTTGAGTGGGTGCTGCACTTTGAAAAATTGTGCTAATTAAAGATGTCCGTACTTTTACTCATTTGTCCACACTTACTTATTTAAAAAAAGAAAAAAATATTTATCCTTTTAAAGAATATAATTTTGTGTTCTTTTAGATCCTAATTGTTGATTTTCGTCAATCAACAATTAGGATTTATTGAATCAAATTTATTAATTAATTAGTAATTCACAATAAAACCCAATAAATCCTAACCGTTGATTGACGAAAATCAACGGTTAGGATCTAAAATGATATAAGAGTAAATACCTCTTTTCGTCCCTGACAATTTTCACGAGGCACATTTTAGTCCCGAACAATAAAAAAGGCTCATTTTAGTCCCTAATATTTGAAAAAACAGGCCACGTTTGTCCTTCCGTTAGTTGGCATCTGACAACCCAACTAACGGAGCACACGTAGACTGTTACTTTGCTGAGTCACCGTTAAGTATGCCAGCGTGGAAGTAATACGACGTCGTTTTATGTCTTCTTGGAGTTTTGGACAACTGACCCTAGCATCGAAGGCCCTATTTGGTCCCTGACAAATTTATCGAGGCCCTATTTGGTCCCTGACAAATTTATCGAGACCCTATTTGGTCTCTGACAAATGTATTGAGGCCCTATTTAGTCCTTAACACCACAAACCTTTCTCTATCTGTTTTATTTATTTAATTGATGTAATTTTTCCATTGCTCATAATATGGAAATGTAGGATCCCTAAAAGGTTTTTTGTTAGCTAGGTGGTGCAGCACTCATCCTCAATCCAAGGACTCTGCTTGGGTCTCCCAACATTCCTGAGGGCCTTCCAAACAACACTGTTACACATGAACCCAGCACCAAAAGCTATCTGACAAACCCTATTACCCCTCTTGATCCTTGAGTTAAACTCAAGGTAATGCCAGTTCATACCAGATGCTGCTGTTAGATGTGTTGCCAAATCGTTCCAATGTCTTCCTTGATGCTTCCATGTACTCCTCTGTGAGCTCCAAATTCTTCTGAATCTCATCCAACACTTTCTTACTTGTTGCCAGAATGCATACATGCTCAAAAGCCAGCTTGTAATCCGGAATGTATGGCTTTGTTTTCTTTTTCTTGAAGAGAAAATTGGTGAAAAAGTGAAGCTGTTTTGAATCTGGTAGGACTAGTGGACCTAATGTGGTAATATTGGCCTTTGATGCATGGCCTCCAACCTGACATCTTTGCTTACAGAAAGTCCCTTCCTCCCTTCAATATCTTCCCTTTGGTTTATTATCATTGATGAGAGTGATGGGGTGGTGTTTAATATTCCTTTGGTTTTACTTTTGTGACAGCAAGAAGGTCCTTAATTGCCCTAAACATCACCATGGATACCTCTTGTCCTTAATTGTCCCATTCAATGCATGCAAAAAATTGAATATATATACATAAATAGGCTTACATTCCCTTAAACATATTGGCAAAGAATTATACAATCTCAAATAATGAAGACTGAAATCTCATCCACACTTAAATATGTGAAGAGTGGTAAATAATTAACAAAAAAGTGTTGTTTACCTTGTATTCATCTGAAGGGCAAAAACATGAAAAATCAAGCAAATAGGTAGACCGGGGTGTAGATTCAATATAAAAATATAGCATTAAGCACAAAAGTGCTTATATAAATAGAGCCTCAGTGAGGTCATGTTTGTCATAGAGATCTTTCCAAGTGAAATTTCCAATATGAGCAATCAAGGTTGCAAGAAGAGGTGGTGCCAGCAACAAATACAAACAATGGCTAATGAGGTAGCCGTAACCGAATTTCACATATTTTAGATTAACTGAACTAAGAAAATCTGGCAATTTAGGCTGTACTTTAACTGAGAAATTAAGAGTGCCTGAATTTGGGTTAGAGTTCTCAACACCCATTTGCAGAATCTCTGTGGAAAATTGCTCATTTTCTTTTGACATGGGGGGAAAATTCACTTGCAGAAAACTATATTGATTGAAGAAAGAGTTGAGGAAAAAAACATTTAATGCAGCTCGAGGTGCATGCAGATAGAGAAAGGTTTGTGGTGTTAAGGACCAAATAGGGCCTCGATAAATTTGTCAGGGACCAAATAGGGCCTTCGATGCTAGAGTTAGTTGTCCAAAACTCCAAGAAGATATAAAACGACATTGTATTACTTCCACGCTGGCATACTTAACGGTGACTCGGCAAAGTAACGGTCCACATGTGCTCCGTTAATTGGGCCGTCAAATGCAACTAACGGAAGGACGAACGTGGCCCTTTTTTTCAAACATTAGGGACTAAAATGAGCCTTTTTTATTGTTCGAGACTAAAATGTGCGTCGTGAAAATTGCCAGGAACGAAAAGGGGTATTTACTCATGATATAAAGTTAGATTCTTTAAAAGGACAATGTTTTCCCTTAAAAAAAGGGTTCTCTTTTTCTACCGTCAGTGTAGATAACTTATCTACATTAAGCCCAAAACGACGTCATTTTTGAGGCAGAAATCAAAGTATTTTTGTAATTATAATTTATTTCAGGGTTATTATAGTCTTTTTAATTATAATTTTTAATTTTTTAACGTAAAATGACGTCGTTTTGGAAGCGAATGTAAATTATTTATCTACATTTATTGTAGATTAACATTAAAGCCTATAAAAAAGAACATGCTTTTGATAAAGGGCTTGTGTTTTTGGACTATGTATTTGTTCTCCTCCTAATGAGGACGGAAATGTTAGTTTTTGGTGTTACTAGATATGATCAATAATTGTTGTGAAGGATTGATTACCATTAAGACATTAACTAATTTGTTGTAACGATGATGACTGGGTCTAGTTATCCAAAACTACTGCCCAATTTTATTTTTTTTATTCTCAAAAATGGGAGGGGTTATATTTAACAACCCAAATAGTTACAAACTCTTACAATCATATCTTAATCGTTGATTTTCGCCAATCAACGATTGTCATTTATTGTGAATTAATAATTAATTAATAAATTTGATTTGCGAAAATCTTAACCGTTGATTGATGAAAATCAACGGTTAAAATATGATTGTAAGAAGTTGTAAACGAAAATAGGTTGTAAATATAACTTTCTCCTCAAAACTCCAACTTAAAATCACTTCTTAAGAAAACAAGTTTTTACCAATTAAATTAAGAGAGTTATTAATCTTATGTTGCATAAGATAGATATGTTATGTGGGTGAGACAAAGTTGTGGACCCACAATTTTAAAAAAATAAAAAAGAAAAAGAAAAATGGGCATAAAATTTCATGAGTGTGCAACATAAGATAGTTGTCTTATGTGACATAAGACAACTATTTCCCTTAAATTAATGATTGTTGATAAGTATATTTCCCCCTCTTGACGTCTAACAGCCTATTGTTTATCGAATATTATTCATGCTATATTCTATAATCATATAATGTCGAACCTAAGTTACACTGTCTATTGCACTAAAAAATAAAGTCTTTTCTTAAATATTACCATTTAACATTGTATGATATATGATTAAACAATAATACAAAAATGTTTATACTAAAGCAATATATATAAAATTAAACTTGTATGTTAATACGAACGTGGATCCCCTTTCCTTATATATATTTTTTAAAACAATCAAAATTTCACAATATGTATACATAATGCTATTATCATCACCCTCCACTATAGATAATATAATCACATATTAAAATAAATTTAAAAAATTGGATACATACCACACACACAAAAATTAGTCAATTAAATACTTTAATTCATTTCTTCACTTTGGTCTTCAATTTTTATTTTTTGAAATCACTATCATTAATTACTAATTTAAAGATTTCAGATATAAAAAGAAAACTATAAGTATTTTTCACTATATAATTATAATTAACCTACGCTTTTCATTATTACCTATTTTTTCAAAAAAAACAAAAAACAAAAAACAAAAATGATTTGAGAATTAATTCATCGAAACGCTAGTAACAAATAAGATCAAAACATGTTCATCAAAAAAAATTATTTCTTCCCTTTTTGTCATGTAAGGTCGCACTTTGAATTGGTTAATGCGGACCCTGAAAAATTCAAATATCAGTCATAGTAGGGTGGGTGGGAGAACAGTTCAAAAAAAAAAATTATCCAAAATTCTAAATATTTATGAAAAATGTTGAATTTGTGAAAAAACCAACCAAATCTAAATGTGAAAATGTGCAAATAACCGTTAAGAAATTGCATATATATAGTTCATTTTGCGACAATCAATCATTGTTCCATTTTTGCGAATTATTCTATTCAACATTCATCTCCTTCAATCTCTCTCACCTCCTTGTTCCTCTCCTGCGAAGCATTGAATTCACCATTCTCTCTTTCTCTCTCTCTCTCTCTCTCTCTCTCTCTCTCTCTCTCTTTCTTTCTCTCTCTCACAGATTCGTCCACAGCTCCAGAATAAGCTTCACCTCTTCGCATTAAATCGTTTTCAAAATCGCCAAGGTGCTTCCTTTTTCTCACATGTGATTTCATGTTTTCCTCAAAAACGTTCCCGCAACTGGGTTTTCCAGGAGCTGCTTTAAGATGCAGAATCGGATTAAGATATTGTTCTTATCATCGATGTTTCCAAACAACGATTTGATATGTCTAGTTTTTTATTTTTTTGAGAATTTGGCAACTTTAAGGAAACTAACTTAGTTGTATTCATAGAAAGATGCCATTGCCAGTGAAACTGACCCTTTTGTTTTCCTTTTCATTGAAGAAAAAAAAAATTAATTTTTTTTTTTTATGGGTTAGGTTTGGGTTTCTTCAATGAGCAGCAAATTGATGGTGATGGATTTCTAGCAACGGACCTGGAATTGAAGAACTTCGTTTTAGTAGATGGTTGGTTGTGAGGGACTGTTGAGGGTTCTTATGAAGAGTTCTGGAGTTACTGAGTTGAATTCCTTCTACCCCATTCGACCAGAATGCCAAGCTGATGTTCCAGCCACTCGTTTCAAACCAAGGGTGTGTTTTTTCTTCTCAACTAATGCTTTCTTATCACTCTTCTTTTTGTCTTTTATTTTTATCCCAAATGCACATCAATTCTATTAACACTGTATGTAATGATTGTACACTTGTAAACCCTTTGAATGTGATAAACAAAATATTGATAATAGTACAAGATTGAAAATTTATGCTTATGTTTTTGTCTATGCCTACAAGGTAGATGCTATTTTGCATTATTACTATTATATATACTTGTGTGAGTTGTTGGTTTTATTTATCTCTATTTTATTCTTATGATTTCCACACTTCACTTTTTGGTCACACAGGCTGGCAAAACTCTAAGTGCAAGAAGATGGCATGCATCATTCTCTGAAGATGGTCGCTTGGATATTGCGAAAGTGCTTAGACGAATCCAGCGGGGGGTAAATTTTATTGTTTACTTGTATAATGTTTATAATTACATTGCTAAATCTGTCAATAATGTGTAGTAACAATCTTTCTTTTGGCTTCTGGTATATATGTATGTGTGTGTCTGTCTGTATGTTAGCGGGTTTGTAATCACTCTGAGAGCTAGCGTTCAACTACACGGTGACCCCTTTCCCTATAGTTTGTAGACTGTAGCAATATTATGTATACTCCCCCGCCCCCTTCTTCCTTCAACATGTTTTAGACATTTTTCTTTATGAAAGTGATACCATATGATGGTGATTTATGGTAGCAATTTGATGTGCTGTGTATTTTTCTGACAATATACATTGAAAAAGTTATATCATTATCCTGTTATTGTTCAAGTTTTTGTTCCTTCTGATTTGTGCTTATTGCTGTGTCTATTTCTATAAATTATGTAGGGTGTCCATCCTTCAATCAAAGGGGAAGTATGGGAGTTCTTGCTAGGTTGCTATGATCCTAACAGTACATTTGAAGAACGGAATGACCTCAAACAACGTCGGAGGTATAATTTCATTTTAATGTATTTCTTGAGAATTAGTAAATCAGATTGAGAGGAATAAAAGAACATTAGCAATACTATACAAATTTCTGTGGTCCTCTGAACTCAGGTATCTGTTTATTGGGAATGCAATTGGTGTGGGTTTTAAGATCAATGTTATTGGAGTACTTTTCCACCTTCTTTTGTATAACCTGTGAAGAGGGGCTAAATTATCACTTTTCTTATTAGCTAACATAGGCGGGAGATAAAACATATCAAATAAGTAGACCATATGTAACCCCCATCTGCCAATTCCACCATCCTCGAGTTGCCACATTCAGCACTGCTTTGTTGCTGCTGATACTACCGGTGCCTCCTATCATTTCCGTCACTTCCTATTACCACTTCTGCGACTGTGACCATTGCCATTAAAGCATTGCTGTATAATTGCTGGCCAAATATTCATATTGTACTATTCTAATCAAATTGTGACCTCTTGAATGACCATGCTTTCTATCAATTTTTTGTTTGGTGCCTTTTAAAATATGAACAATAAGATTAATTAATTCTCTTTACTTTACCTCCCATAGAATCTATAGACTATATTAACACAAGGCTGGATGGCTTCCTATGTTTCCTCCTATAGTCTAGTGTTGGTTTTTCTAAAAGGCAACTGGTGTTTCAAATTTTTTAGGGTGTCAATCCCTAGTCTTCTCTTCCTTTTTCTTCCTTTCTTTTGTATTCATTGAAAATAAACAAATTTTTTTTTATAAATTTATTATTCAGGGGGCAGTATGATATGTGGAAAGCTGAATGTCAAAAACTGGTCCCAGCCATTGGTAGTGGAAAATTTATTACAACACCCATCATCGGTGATGATGGCCAGCCAACAGATCATTCTTTGGTAGGCGTCCCGGCTTCAGATAAGAAAGTTGTGCAGTGGATGCAGTTATTACATCAGATTGGTATGTATATGCTGCTGCATAAATACTGGATACTTTTTTCATTCTGTTTGCTTTTAATTTCGTTCGAAAAGTTTTACTTCTTGGGCCTTCATTAAAGAAAAAAGGTTGTGCCATAATTTTGCGGATACAGGAAAAGAGAATTCTTTTTGGTATTTACAGTTTGTCTCAGATCAATTGCATAGAAACAGGGTTGTGTTCTTTTTGCAGGAGTAAGGTCGTGATTTTATTAGTAATTTTCACTTAATTGGTTGTCAAGTAAATTTTCCCCACAAAGAAGGCAAATACAATATAGTTTTTACCTAAACTCAAGAAATTTTATTTTTTTATTAAAAAAAAGAGAATGGATTAAATATGTAATGGCAAAGGCAACATCCTCGCATACATACCATACGATGATAACTCAATAACAAAAATATTTGAAGTCATTAAAACTGACTAGCAACCCAGAAATCAGATTAAGGCAGAATGTTTAGTGCCTGATTTGTGGTGCTGATGGCATCTGTTCCATGATGCTTACAGAACGAGAGCATTATATAATAGCTACCCAAGTTTATGCTGTTATTTTTCCCTTAAATTTTTTTTGTTTGTGGTAGTTAATTGTTTTAAGTAATAGTGGCAATTGGTTGCATTGTAGGTCTGGATGTTGTTCGAACAGATCGAGCACTTGTCTTTTATGAGAGTGAAGATAATCAAGCAAAACTTTGGGATGTTCTAGCAGTTTATGCTTGGTTGGACAATGATATTGGTTATGTACAAGGTGAACCACAATAGCTGACAATTTTTAAATGTTAAACTGAAAGAGCTTCGAGAAGTTTGAGACATTCTTAAGGTCGTATTTACTTTGCAGGAATGAATGATATTTGCTCACCTTTGATTATTCTTATTGAGAATGAAGCAGATTGCTTTTGGTGCTTTGACCGCGCGATGCGAAGGATGGTATGCTAAACATAATGAAACAACAAATTTGCCTAAAAGTGCATGTTTCTTGTGTGGGGAGTTGATCTGTAGAAACTACAACCTAGATGGTAGTGGCCTTAGAGAATTAATAACTATGAAAATACTGATATGAAGTTTTGTTAGGAAGCATGATTAGTTGTTCATCAGATCATTATTTCTTATTGTTTTTAATTTTGCTACATTTGTGCATGTCAATATCTGGTGATGTTATTCTTACAACTTATATCATACTTACATCTTATCGCTGTTGAGAATAAAGACTAAAAGAGATCTGAATAGGAATCTCTTAACTCTTTTCCTGTTCTGTTCTTTTTATATATATGTTTTCCACACTTGAAGAAATATTGTTGCACAACAAAATGTATGACTAACTCCGGGAACAGACTCTAGAGTTGGGATTGGAACTGATTCATCAAGTAGAAGCAGTGGCTTATTTCGTGTTTTAACTGTGTTGCACCTGGTCCTTCTCATGTGTAGAAAATCTACAGTAATATAATGTTTGATCTGTGTTGCACCTGGTCCTTCTCAATCAATTAATCTTTCTAGTGTTTTAACATTCCTATGTTTGTTTCCATAACAGAGAGAGAACTTCAGGTGCAGTGCAAGTTCAATGGGGGTGCAATCTCAGTTGGGTACACTCTCACAGATAATGAAAACAGTTGATCCCAAGCTTCATCAGCACCTTGGTATGTGAAACTTGTTTGGGAAGCTTCTAATATGCTATGAGTTATAGCTTCATAGTTCAGATTCTTCTATCTTTTTAATTTTGAACCAGAATCAGCGTCAAATGCTTCCACATGCTTTTCAGTTTAAGATGGTGGATGTTTGTGGAAAATATTTCTCTCTTTGACAATCATATGGGACCTCTCCCTAAGGGAGATGTTGCCTGAAGTGTGCCTCAGTATACAGAAGCTTTCTTCTGTATCAATGTGTGAGAAAGCAACACTTAACTTGATCTCCTTTTAATTTTGCAGAGGATTTAGATGGTGGAGAGTATCTTTTTGCATTTCGCATGCTCATGGTTCTTTTCCGAAGAGAATTTTCTTTTGCAGATACTATGTATCTTTGGGAGGTAAGGATGAATTCCTATGGACAAATATAAATTTTCTCAAGAAAAATGCTTTTGCTTTTGCTTTTGTTTTTTTACGTTGAGAAGCTATTGTTTTCTGATTCCTTGATGAGATAGAGTGCTTCAAATTAATAAGCTCATTTTAAGACATAATATAGATTGTTTCCAGTTGATGTGGGCCATGGAATACAACCCAAGCATCTTCTTCAAATATGAGGAGCCAGATCGTGCTAAACCAAAAGGCCCTGCGCCTGTAGTAAATGACAAACTCTTAAAGCAATATGGAAAATTTGAGAGAAAAAAAATGAAGAATGGGCATACAGAGGAAAATAGTGCACTATCTGTTTTTCTTGTTGCAAGTGTTCTTGAGATCAAGAATAGGCGGATTTTAAACGAGGCCAAGGGTGTGGACGATGTTGTCCAGGTCTCTCTTTCTTTCTCTCTTTCTCTCTTTCACCTTCCATCCCTTGTATGGATGAGTATATGTTTTTGCATGTATCTCACGTGAAACTATATGTTCTTCAGATCTTGGGTGACATAACCTCCAATCTTGATGCTAAAAAAGCATGTAATGAAGCATTGAAAATTCAGAAAAAATACCTGAGCAAGGTAAGTTTCACTCTGTCTTCCCTGTCTGTGTTTAGGAAAATCATGGAGATTTTTTATGGAAAACAAATGATATAATCGGCTACACATTTTCCAATAATCTTGATTTTGAAATTTTTTACTGACCAATCTTTGTTTTTGGGCCTCTTTTTGTTGTAAGTAGTCTATTACTGGGAGATGATTCATGCATAATCATTTGCTTTGCTACTACAACATTTCTTTCTATTTTCACCGTAATCATTTAAACTTTAACGTTTGTTGTATTATGTTGCTTCCATACAAGAGATGTCAATTGTTGTTGTGACTGTTTGTTCATGCAGACCAAGAAGGCATGACAGAGACAATAGTAGATTTTCTGTAACTATATGATGGCAGCTATGGTTATATGATCTTCTGAGGTTTCAGTTGCTCCTTATAGGCTATTGTTTACTTTCTCTTTCATTATTTTCTTTTCTTTTCTCTTAGTGGTGGTCAGCAGTTCCTTGTTGATCATTTGAAAATCAAATTTTAATCTTATACTTTGAAATATTCTTCAATATCGATGCCATGAGATCCAGGGAACCAGAAAATGTTAACTTTAGATAAAAACATCTATTCATTTGGTGGGATTATTAGCAAAAAAAAAAATATTTGTATCAATTGTATTGGCTTATTATATACTTCAGAATTACTTTCATGTTATCTTATAGGCAAGAGAGGTACCCTTTTTTCCTCAACTGGGGGACATTTATATTATCAAATCGAAGATTATAAAATTGTTAAATGTTTTATTTTTAATCGAAGAAACAATAACATGGGTTAAAATTCTTAGTGATGCTGCTTGCACAATTCTATATTTTTCCTTAAACTCTTGGACAATTACAACTGGGAACTTATGCTAATGAAAAATTGATGATTGAAAATTATAAATATATTGGTGGAACTCTGACATGAATTTAATTTTTTGGATGAAAGGGAAATTTCATAACTTTTTGAAGGCTATAAAGTTATAACATGGGTTGGTATTAGTAAGCATAAATATTCAATCCCTCGTTCCACCAATAAAATTGCGAAGCTCTTAAGGTTAGAATAAGAAGGAAAAAACAAAAAAAAATAATTACAATACCCTAACCAGACATCACGTAAGCTAAATAGTTTTTAAGGATTCATATTTATGATCTTATTTTTATTTTATTTTATTTTGAAAATATTCTAATCGGTTCATCGTTTCGCGACTAGTTCGATTCGGGGTGGATCCAAGATTAAGGTTTTAAACCTCCTTCAAAGATGATACTGGAAAAGATCGAATACATGCTCTCATCTTTACCTGCTCAATTTTCGTATGTCAATTAGACTACCATCATTTGGTCATGATGTTATTCCTTACTTTTACAGTAATGACAGGCAGAAGTTCTAGTAGTGATTTTTTAAGCTCAACTCCAATAATAAACTCTTAATAAGATCTAGTAAAAAAAAATGAAGTCCATAATAATTTATTTAACCGACTATTATATTAAAAAATCACGAAGGCGACCATAATAGTACCATATGACAAAACACAGGGAGCTTTGTCATGTGACAATGCATGTACCATATACACAATTAATTATATGGATTTGATTTTTCTCATTGTTACATATATGGTAGTTAAAATCTGAATTTTACTTAAAATTGGCAGGAGGATAAAAAATCATAAAACGTAAAATCTTAACGTAAGAAAAATCGTAAAAGCGTTTGGAATTTTGATACAATTGTTTTGATTGAAAAAAATCGAAAAATCGTAAAATCGTGAAATCTACGATTTAAATCGAGATTTTAACTACCATGGTTACATGAGATAATTTGTTTTATGCAACACACAAAAAAGTGAATAGAACCCACTTTAAAGGAGAGAGAGAAAAAAAAAGGTGGATTTCACTCACTTTTTTGTGTGTTGCATGAGACAAATTATCTCATGTAACATAAGAAACACATTTTCCTAATATAATTAGGGGAAAACATTTATCATTTTAAAGGATATAAGTTTATATCCTTTTAGATCCTAACCGTTGATTTTCGTCCACCAATCAACGGTTATAATCTATTGGATCAAAATTAATGGGCCAAATTTATTATTAATTAATTAATAATTTTAATCTAATAAATTATAACAGTTGATGGACAAAAATCAACTGTTAGAATCTAAAAAAATATAAATTTATATCCTTTAAAAGGATAGATGTTATTCCCTATAATTAGTTGAATAAATTATATGATTTTTTTTTCATTACATTTAACTGTTTAATATACAATCAGAAAATTAAACTCTCTCTTTCTTTTTCTCTTTCTGTGTCTGTTTATAATGTTAAAAAGGTTGGTGGCAAACGTGGCCAAAAATAGAAATGAGAAGGTGGTTCAATTTTGGTGGAGCAATGGAGTGGTCACGTGATGTTTTAATGCAGACGGCGTTACATGTCGCTTTCTAAAACACAAGACAAAAAGTCGGCGAGTGCGCGGCGAATCCTGTCGCCACTTAGGCATGCAGGTTCCTCTGTCTCACAACACTACCCCTAACCCCTTGCCACATTCATCATTATCTCTTGTCCTTTTCTTCTCCCACCTTTAACCCCCAACAACAACACCTTTTCTCTCTTTTGTTATTCTTACCAACATCCATCTCTTCTCTGTCACTGTGTGCCTGTTCCTCTGTCTGTCTCCCTCTCTCATATACACAACCATACACACAACACAGAGACACGGCCCTTATAACACCAAAGAAAGGACACTTTTGTAATTTCACAAACCCTTCATCATCAACACTTTCACAGCCATTACTCTATTATAATAACAAACAAACAAACATTCTAAAGTTGCAACATTTTCATTGTATCAAATTCGATGGGTCTTTTGTTGTTAAGAATAGCTCTGTTGTCCACCGTGTTCCTCCTCTCACAGCAGCAACCTCCGTTGGACACCGGCGAACAGGAAGCGGTTTATGAAGTGCTTAACTCTCTCAACCCCACCATTCCCTGGCGCACCCTCTTCCCCGACGACCTCTGTCTCTCCGCCCCACACGGCGTCGTTTGCGACTGGGACACCACTCAACAGATTGCACACGTTGTGGAGCTCAGCTTCGGTTACGTTTCTGATGAAACTCCAAACCCACCTTGCTCCCTTAACGCAACCCTTAACCCTCTTCTCTTCACTTCATTCAACTATCTTCGCAAACTCTTCTTCTACAAATGCTTCAACCACACAACAACACCCCTTTCCTTAGTTTCTCTTCTTCCTTCTTTTCCTCCAACTCTTGAGGAGCTTGTTTTCATCGACAACCCATCTTTGGTTGCGCCTTTTACTCACTTGCTTTCGAATCTCACCTCTCTGAGGAGGCTTGTTTTGATCGGAAACGGTTTTCACGGTGAAGTTCCACGTCACATTGGTGGTTTGGTCAACTTGGAAGAGGTTACTCTCTCGAGAAACCACCTTGGAGGTGAGGTGAGTCCTAGTTTGGCAATGCTGAAGAATCTGAAGGTTCTTGACCTCAGTGAGAATGAGTTTGAAGGGTGTGTCCCTGAATCTCTGGGGAATCTCACGGAGCTTTTGAAGCTTGATATGAGTTACAACGGGTTTGGTTGTAAGATCCCTGAGAGTTTGAGAAACTTGCAAAAGCTTGAGTTTTTGGACCTCAGCTTCAACAGTTTTGGTAATTTTGGGGTCCCTTTGTTCCTGGGAGAGATTCCAAGATTGAAGGAAGTGTACCTCAGTGGGAATTCACTTTCTGGGAAGATTCCAGAAATATGGGAAAATCTTGGTGGTGTGATAAAAATGGGATTTTCAGACATGGGTTTGGTTGGGAATATCCCTGCCTCAATGGGGGTTTATCTGAGGAACTTGTCTTATCTTGGGCTTGATAACAACATGCTTGAAGGGCCTGTTCCTGAGGAGTTTGCACTTCTTGAATTTGCTGATGAGATCAACTTGGAGAACAACAATTTGAGTGGTAGAATCCCATTCTCAAACAAAGTTGGAGGGAAGCTCAAGTTAGGAGGGAATAGAGGACTCTGTGTGGACAACAAATTTAGGTGTATTCAGAACGGAGGCATCTTGGGTCAACTTAAGCCCTGCAAAAAAGCAGATGTTCCTGATGCTGTCCTTTTCAATGGGGTTTCTTTGATGCTTTTTGATCCTCTTATGTTGGTCATGTCGCTGGGGTTGTTGTTTGTCTTTACGGGATTTTGAGGGTGGTTTGGTTGGTTCACATATCGAGAATAGGTTTTGTCTTTTATTAGGCTGAAGAAGGAGAGAAGACGCTCTTTTTTTGCCAGTAAAAAGAGAGAGAAAGAGCAAAGAAACATGTTTGTTTACTATGACTAGGAAAGGATTTTTAAGGAGTGTAAAGTTTAAGTGATAGTGATGGGTGATGGTAGGTAGTGAAAACATGTTTAGAGAGCAACGGGAAAACATGTAATTACTTTATTTTTACTTAGTATACATGTTATTTATTTTGTTGGTCACTTTTACTTCTTGCTGACTAATTTTTTTTACGAAGTTAAACTGTTAATTTTAATGGTGTGTTAACACTTGTTTTCAAAACTTAAAAATGTATATGTTAATAATCTACTCTTCTTTTGTTTTTCGATGGATGTGGAGCTGTCTTAGATGTGCTTTCCCATGAGAATTTCATTTAACTTAGGGGTGTTTCGTACATGAGATTCTTTCAGAATTTCGAGAAACTGAATTTTTTTTATTTTTAAAAATTCAAATTATCGATAAAAAAAAATTTCTCGTGCTCTTTCAGTATTTAATGCTAAATTGCTAATAGAGAAAAAGTGTGGGTTGATTCTTGATTCCAAACCTGTTAAAAACAAAAGGGTAATTGTGTAATTGACCCTGAAGATCAAAGTAGGAAGCTTTTCAATAATTCGTAGTGACACTGACAGAAGCAATATCGTATTCGTACAATGATGAGACTTGGGATGGATGGCTACGCTGCCTACGCATTATTAGAGGCTGCTCAAAGCACACTGAACCAATTCATAATTTTTTTTTTTTGAAACAAGAACCCATTCATAATTGACATAGCATAGGCATACATATCCTAACATAGCATCTTATTCGCATCGCATGTAAAACACATTGTCGTTTAAAAAAAAAAAAAAAAATATGTGTCATTTTAAATGACACGTCTTATATCATTTTTCTCTCACAAAGAGGTAAGATTTATATTTTTAAAAAAGGTTTCCTCCACGCTCTCTTTCATGATTTATCTCTTTTTTTCACTTAAAATGACATAACTTTGTATCTTTTAAAATGATACATACTTTTTCCTTAAAATAAACGTCGCGGTGGTCATGCAATATTTAAAAATATGATTCAATATTCACATAAAATTTAAATCATATTCTTTCTTGTTTTTACGTTGCATTTGATTCCTGTGGTGACACGAAGATAGTAAGGTTGGAAAAAATGATTCAATCTATCGAGTTGGTTCGTAATTTGTCAAAAATGAGTCGAGTTGAGTTGGTAAAAATGAGTTGTCAACCCGAGTTAACTTGACCTGAGCCAGCTAAGGATAAAACGAGTCAACCCGATGGTCAAATAGGCCAGTTAGTGGGTTGAGTTTTTTTTTAAATACAAAATATAATATAAAAAAGGGACAAAACTCACACATGTTGTCATCGCCTTTTTTCCTTCTCTAAACTTAAGTCCCAAATCTTCTCATATCGCTGCCATTTTTATTCAATTTCTCACTCAAAAATTGAGACGCATCCGCCAGCCATCATCGTCAGTGCTCCCTCAACCCCTGGCTTCATAGCCTTAGTTGCTTAGTCTTGGCCTCAATTCTTGCATTGAAAGCTTATTGTATTCTTGGTTTTTTGCTTCTCATTCTATAACCAGTTTCTGTTTTACTTTTTTTATAAATTCTGTAAGGTAATTGTATTGTTTAAGCTAATGGAAGTCACATACATGGTGCATTAATACTACATGCTCATTTAAATAGGCTGAAAACTAACCAACCTGAGCCAATCCTAACCCAGCTCGAGTCAGGTTGTGTTGAATTTTTTGGTTCATTTTTTTTCAAACCAACTCTAACTTGATTCATTTTTCTCGAATTGCATATGGATTGGGCTGAGTCGAGCCTAGTAGGCCCGTTTTGCCAACCCTAAGATAATGTAGCATGTCATTCTCTTGCACTTAATATATATATGTAGAATCCTTGTATTAAACTGAAAATCTTGTATATTTATCTTAAACAAACTATTGAAAACTAAAATGAACAAGTTGCACTAATTAGTAATTACATATCAGCAATGGGTAAACAATACAAGAGTCTAGGGAAGGGAAAAAAAAAGGGGTAATAAAATTAAGAATAGGGAAGGAAAAAGAAAAAGAAAAAGTAGCATAGGAAAGTATTCTAATTTCAAGTATGATCTATGCAAGAGTCTAACTAATAGCATAAAAGTACACCAATTTTCTCAAGATAAGCTAGTCACCACTCTCTCACCACCACCCTGTTCATTTTCTTCAAATGACCTTTGTTTGTTACTAGACTTGGATTCGGATCCGGATGGAGATGCGGGATCCATGAGCTGGGCTTTGGATCTCAATTTGGATGACCCGCCACCACTAGAAGTATCTTTTGACTTCTTCCGGCGAGTGTTTTTTGGAATTTCCGGTGGGATCCGGGCCGGTGACCCGTCCAGCGAATCCGATGAAATGAGTTGTCGGGTCGGATTGGATCCATCTGAGGAATCTTTGGGTTGTGAATGTTTGTTGGATGACTTCCTTCTTGGCTTGTCTGACTTTTCACTTGTGGGAGAATCTGTCATGCTGCCCGTTGACTGCCTTCTAGATGCCTTGGGCAGCTCGGGCAAAGCCCTCCCTTGACCTTGTGAATTCACATGCCTTGAACTTCTTCTCCTTGAATCTATGTCACACCATGAAAATTCAATCAATCCCATCATCATTTTGTGTTTGACTTTCAATCATAATTATTCTTCTATGGTATACAAAAAGGTCATGCACACACATTCTTTAAACAATAAAAAAAAATGATTTTTTTAAAAGTTATTTTATATTCAAAATATTAATTTATAGCAGTGTAAAAATAACAAGTCTTATATTAAATAATAATAACTTACATGACTAATAAAATAAAGTCGTTATATGCCAGCGAGATTAATAATTAAAGGGAAATATTTTTCTCCTTTTACATCAGAGAAGAATTATTTTATAATGAGACAAAAAGTGAGGGCAGCAATTAAAATTAAAAAATAAAAACAAAAACAAAAAATTGGCACGGAATTCGATCTATGTGTAAGAATCAAATATTTCCCGTAATTAAAATTGGTGTATGAATTAAAGTTTATCTTTATCCTTCATTCTGTATATAATTAAAGTAAAAGCTTTTCATTAACATAGCATATCAACCTTGTGTAGGGAAAAAAATTTAATAATAATTATATGTACCTTCGGAGACCCATTGGACTGAATTTTCCTGTGCTTTATTTTGAGCATCTTCGGTAAGATTTAGAGGTGCTGATGCAAATCCCTGGGAAGTTGTAAATTCGTTCATCTGAAACAGTCACAGCAAGCCCCAAAAGGCTTTCTTTTTAAAGGAAAATTAACACCAACATGAACACAAAAGTGTTTACTTTAAGTATTTAATTAGTTAATCTTAGATAATAGTTAATTAACATTTGAAGAAATTAAGAAAGTTGAGAATTACCCAGCTAGGAGAATTTACAGATGGACCATCCCATCCTATATGGGCCACATGCTTTACATCCGTGGGATATCCAATTTGAATATCTTGTTCTTTTTCATTTTCTGCGAAGTCACATCTTTTTTAATTAACATAAAGGGAAAATGAAAACAGAGAATAAAATTAATTAATACTAACAATTAACGCATCAGAAATACAATAATTAACTACATGAAAGGGAGGTTTACTTACCAAACATCTGAGATATGTATCTAAGGCCTTTAAGAATGCCCTTTACCTTGTTGCTGGACATGTTCAACAAAACTGGTGCGTTGGAATTCTCTTTTGAGTTTTGACAATTTATAAATATGTGCTTAGAAGAAAATCCAGCATTGACTTTTGAGACCCACAAGAGAAAAAGGAAAGAACTTTATCTGTTGAATTTTCACCTATTAAAGTTCTTCCTAAAGGGTCAACACTCAACAATGTATGTATCTTTGAGTTGAAGATATGCTCCAGAGAGAACCCATGATGGGGGAATATTAGAGGTGTGTTTTTTATTTTAAATTTTTTTTCTTCTTCTCAGGACATGCAAATATGGTTTTCTGCTTCTTTTGTCATTTGAAGAAAGAGAATAATAATGGTTCAAAAACTTAAGGTAGTTTTTGACAAATGTGTCATGAAGGTGGCAATGGTGAGAAAAGGGACGAATCTAACAAACAAGTTCTGTTTAAAGCATACCCATCTTTAATTTCGTAGATTCGACGGCAATTGTTTGCTTGTTGATTTTCCCAGTCAATCAAGACCAGAAGCTGATCGAAATTTTAGGTGTGGCAATAGGTGCTAAATTTAGGATGTCTTTAACAGGTCATTTCTACGATGAATTGTGTCCACATGAATGGACAACGTAGGTGCTTGGATGTTGCTGAATCCTAATTTCTGGAAGGAAAATAACTGGAATTCTGCTATTCCTATTTCCTATTGTACAATTATCCTGCATGGTCATGACTCCATCAATTATGTTTCTTAATGTGTATATATATCATAGCACAAATAAAAACAAAATAAAGGCCTCCTTGAAAGTGAATTACATACTAAAAAAACATTGTAATCTAAATAGAACAAAATAATGATGAGACCATTAGAGATATTAATTCATATTTAGTTTTCTCCCACTTAATCCATCATTTCCCTGATTCTCAACGTCTACAATACTGATAACGTACTACTTTTATCAAAATATTTAATCATACGAATCATACCTAATTACCTATCAGTCTTTTTAAAAGCAAATTCATATAGCTCGATATAATTTTCTCTTAACAAAAGGCCTTATTGTGATATTTAACTAGATCAAAAAGGCCTATATCTTTGTACCCAAAAAAATAAAAGGCCTATATCTATTCAGGGTCAAAAATGAAAATACATCATTCTCAATCAGAATGAGTACTCCATATATGAAAACATATAACAAATGTTCAGTTTCATAAAACTTTTCATGATTGAATCAAATCTCACTTATTTGGTATGATGCTTAAATAATTTAATAGCATACCATTCATTTTAAAGGATTTGCATTCATTAATTCGATGCTACCGTGTTAAGTGATGAGCTCATTGCTTGTAACATTCTTCAAAGACTAAATACCTTATATCGATCAAGAATGGGTCTTGGATCTTACAACAAAGCACTTCGAATACAAATTTGTTTCCTCGTAAATAGTAATCAAGCATCTAGAAAACATTTAAAAAGATTAAAAAAAAGCTTACAAAATTGAATTTTATATTCATTCGAGTCCTGCAGAAAAACATAGTAATGATGTCTCTGCGAACCTTACGTTATATTTGTTTGTTTTTTTTTTTTGGGGGGAAAAAAGGAAATTAGAATGTAAGATAAAACTTGACATTAGATTACCTATTAAACATTCAAAATTCGAAATCCTAGTTTAAAAGTTACAGGTGTAGGCACCTTAATGAACCACCGTGTCCCATAGAAAGACAAGTATTTCCATGTTATTAACATGAAGATTAAAGAGAACTCAACCAGGAATAACCAGAAAGGGACCAGTATCTTAGAATTGTAAGAGAGAAGCCAAATAGCAACCACGTGCATCAACCCAAATGAACAACGATATGTAAAGCACTAACTTATTGGAAACGCTCTGATAGCCACTACGGCTTCAATAAGAAGATTTCTCGCATCAATTCCCTTCTCGTCAATGAGTTTTAACATAAAGAATAACGTTGTAACTAAACTGATTCTCAAATTTGAAAAAAAGTGACCCTTCATTTGTAAGCTTTCACAGCTTTCTGAGCTGCATCATCCAAATCTTCAGCCGTTATTAATGTCATACCACTTTCCTGTTGAACCAATGATGATCATCAACATAATAAGCATGTGACATTCTTGCTTCCATTTTTAAACGGATGGTTTCTATTTATATTAATAAATCTACAATTTACCTTCAAAATTCTTTTTCCTTGATCAACATTGGTGCCTTCCAGACGAACAATTACTGGTACTTTTAGTGCAACCTTGAAAATAACGGCAAGAGAAGTTAACGCTATTATAAGATCAGGATACAATAGAAGTGGTATTTCTGATAATAAATAATAAAAAATTAAAAAAATAGATGCGGTCATGTTCAGTCCCTATTCTTTTTCAGTAAAAAAATCAACATAGAAAAGAGTGGAAATAACAATAGTTCTATATATATCTCACTCTATATATCTAATTTATTTAAAAAATTGCAACTATCAAGAATTTACATCCACTATCATAGGCCAAAACGTAGTCAACTGATCAATTTAAATCTTATAAGACATCAAATATAAACAATGTACATTTTCTTGACTTCATGTCAAATCTTTTAATATCAAATAGTTCCCAATAAAATCATTATCCAAAAATGCTAATAAAATAACATAAAAAGTTAATTTTCACAGAGAAACTTCCTCAATCATAGGAAGGCGAAGGACAAAGGATAAAACTGTTTATAAAGGCACAACTTTTTTTGGTAAAGGCATAACTTTACTAACCTGTTTTGCGGCATTCACTATTCCACTTGCTATAACATCACACTTCATTATACCACCAAAAATGTTAACCAAAATTGCCTTCACTTTGTCATCAGCGGTCAATATTTTAAATGCCTCAACCACCTGATTTATATAATTGCAATAAATATGAACAAAAATATCATAAGATGGAGATCACTTAAGTTAATATCTAGCAACATCTAAACTAAGTTTTTCTAATATCATCTTTTTGGAGTAAAGTTCAGGTTAATACACTAGGAGATTACAAACTGATCTGATATCAAATGCAAGCAATTATCTGGATCATAATAATGGAACGAAGACTGATACCATAATGGAAGCAATCCAAACTTTTATAACATTACCTGGCCTTCAGAGGCATTCCCACCTACATCCAGAAAATTGGCAGGAGTACCCCCATGCAATTTAATTATATCCATTGTGGCCATTGCTAACCCTGCTCCATTCACCATGCAGCCAATTTCTCCATCTAACCCAATGTAATTTAAATCTGCCTTTGCAGCAGTCACCTATTTAAAGATAAAAGGTACAAATAATGTTACATGTGCCCAGTTAAAGGAAAGAATTAATTAGAACATAAGAGCTTGATAAGCAGGCACAAATAGATCGTGTGAAATCCGGGACACCATAATTGTGTCATAAGCACAAGCTCCAAGTACATATCAAAAGCATCGAAATAATAAGAAAGAAATGTAACAAGTAGGCTGAGGGGTGCATATGGAATGGGCTGGGGTTTAACATAACCCGAACCCAACCCAATATTTTGATCGGGCCAATTTTTGGACCCAGACCCAGCCCAATTAACAATTGGGCCAACCCAATATTTAGACAAAACATGCAAATTTAAACATCATGCATATTGCATTGTTAGTCAAAAAAATTTAGCAGCAGGAAACTGACTAAAACTAAGGCATATTATACAATATATTATGGAACAAAGTATATCTATATAAATATATTATCATGCTATGTAAAAGGTATTAATTCAAGTCAAGAATATTTATTACTTATAACTAATTGTCAAAACTATTTACAAATATTACGCTGCATCTTGCCAGGTTGCACCAACCCAAAATGTGTCTTAACTTAAACCTGACCCTAAAACACACCAGGCCTAATTTTTAACCAGACCTCCAAGCTGGGTCTTGAACATCCCTGGACTCAAGTGGTAAATATGGGTGGGTTTAGGGTTCATATGTTTGATTCCCATGTAATGTAAACCAAATAAATAAATAAATAAATATTATAAGTAAACCTCTCGAGGATCCTCTTGTGTTGTATCACGAAGAGTGAATATCTCTTTCTGACGATATGCAGCATTATCGTCAAAATTCAACTTAGCATCAGCAGCCACCAACTGGTTATCAGCTGTCTCAGCTATGGGATTGATCTGTTCAAGATAATCAGCTGTCATTATACACATTCTTCATAAGATAAATATGCAGATAGCTCACATGACTAAAAAACTCGCATATGCTTACTTCCAAAAGAGTGCAGTCACAATCAACAAAAAGTTTATACAAATTCTTCACTTGTTCAATTGAATTATTTCTATCAGCCACTTTGAGAGCCAAACCATCAACAACCTTCGCAGCATCTGCATCAGTAATTCCTTCAAAAACATCAACAGGTACCTACTAGAAAGAAGGAGTACATCAGGTCTATCTTCCAAAAGAATACTGCTTGGACGGAGTATTTTTAATATCATGAGAAATGCCAAGAATAACAAACCTTTACAATCATGTCAGGAAATTTCTCTGCGAGATCTTCAATGCTGGTTCCTCCCTTTCTACAAGCAATAATAATCTGCAAAACCATAAAAAAGAAAAGAACTGCAATAAGTACCATAATTGTTTACTATGTAGCACCGACACGACACGACACTCCAACACATCAATCCTAAAAAATATGAATTTCGACACGTTATGACACGTTTTAATATTAAAAAATATTTTTAATTTATATAGTGTATATTTCATTTAGGGAAAGTGTTTGTCCTTTTAAATGACACAACTTATGTCATTTCACTCTCATAAAGAGGTGGAACCCACACTTTATTTTTTTTGTCCATTCTCTCTCCCCCCATGATCTATCTCTTTCTCTCACTTAAAATGACACAACTTTACATCTTTTAAAATGACACACTTTTCCCTTTCATTAAATATTCAATAATTTAACAAAACAGTGAAACTAAATTAATAATACCCATCAACATGTTATCTTTCAACTTTCCTTTCCAAACCAAAACCACATAAGAAAAATTGGTTCAAAATCGGAATCCAAGGTGTTACATAAACGGAGAAAAAAAAACTGATGTAACCAATGGCAACAACAGCAAAAAATTCACCGAACCCAATACCATGAATCATAGCAACGTTCTTCACAAAAGGAAAAAACATAAACTAAAAGAAAAGGAATCAAATCTAAAATTATTTACTGAATACACTGTAAAATAAAATAACATCAAGAACACAATCAAACATTATAAAGGTGGAAGCTTTAATAAAAAAATAGGAATTGGGATGAGAGAGAGAGATCAGATCAGATTAGAGAGAGATCAGAGAAGGAGACACAACAAGAGCGTAACAGGAATGACAACGATAGTGCTAAGATGATCTATTATCTACTTAAGGGGAAAGAGAGGGGGAGGAGGGGGGAATTGATATGATCAAGTGGAAACTTTATTAATATATTTTAATATTTTTTTTAAAAATATATTTTTTTTAAAAATATAATATTTTTACGAAAATACCATTTGACCGTGGCGGTGCGTGTCGAACACAGTCAAATTCGTGTGTCGAAATGGTCAACGTGTTGGGAATGTTGACCGCGTGCCGGCACCATGTCGGCGTGTCGGACACGACACTCCCTGTTTTTTGGAGTGTCCGTGCTTCCTAGACTGTTTATTGGTTAGATTTAAAGAAACTAAATTCAGGGAAAAAGGGAGTCATACATTAAACATGATATACAAGTTTGAAGAATTAAATTAGCATATAAAGCAAATCAAAGATAACATATTGAAATAGTATACTTACTGGACCAGCAGTTATACGATCCAGAGTTATAGCAAAGTACATCTCATTCACAAGTGAGAGCTTTTGACACAAGTAAACCTGTATAAAGTAGAAAATTGGATATCAAACAATCAACTCATCCAGCAGCAATATGTCCCCATATCGTATATCATTCTCCATAATTGAATTGAATGAAACCAAAATCAAACAAAGTAGCAACTATCACTGTGTATTCAGTTTTAAAAAATTGAGAAACAACGAGCAATTACATGAAGTACTTGCAATATCCAATTAACATGAAATTTATGTTCATTATCAATACAACCACCACTAAGAATCCAATGGAAGTATATGTAGATATAACAATTGACTAGACACCAAATAACAAAAGTGGTTATAAGTTTATAACTTTGATAACGATGGACAAAAATCATTTGGAAAAAAGAAATTGTCCAGTTGACTAGTCCAACCACTCAATTCACACTGGTTCACCAGTTCAACTTCCAGGTTCCACCAGTTCATATGCTGAAACTAATCCACATTGAAGCAGATTGGTTTTGTGGCCAGTTTACCAGTCCAACCAGCCATATCAGTCCATAAAAATAACTAGACTTTGAAGTATTAATTGGAAGCACCAATTCATCCTCCAGACATACATATTACACATAAGAAAAAGACCTACTGTGGGTTCAAAAAAGGAGTAAATTTTTCCATAAAGAAAGCAAACAAGAACTACTCAAGCATAATTTATCGGTGAAGGTTTATGCCATAGCATTGCCTCACCAAAAATTTCAATTTTCAGAGCAGAAAATTGCTAGCATATACATGCATACTGAAAATGCTAGCATGTTTGCAGATAGAATGATTTCAAACCTTGCTAACAATTTTTCCCTGAGGACCAGTCTGTTTGGTAACTAGTATCTGCCCAAGCATCTTCCCTGAAATAACAACAATGAAATAATAATAACACCAAGCAAAAATAACCGAAATTTAGATTAATGAGTATTATATCCTCTATGAATTCAAATTGAACAATTTAATACATACAAGCATGATATGCACTAATAGTGTATTGCATATAAAAGGCCAAGGGCATAAATTTAGAACAAGGAATTTTCCAATTTGAGGTACAAAGGAGGCAACAAATAATACCAGCTATGTCTTCAACCTGGTCTGTCTTAACAATGTGCACTCCTCCCTTAAGACCACTTTTAAAAGTTCCCAAACCTCGTCCACCAGCTAAAATTTGACTCTTAACCACCAACTGCACAATAATCCCTGCTTGTCATCACATGAAATATTCTGTACTAACTAGGCAATGTTTTACTGAGGGGAAAAAAAATGCAGGAACAAGGTTTCAACTTGAAAATTTGTTATAGAGGGAATTAACGAAAACACAGTGCACTTTGCAAATTTTAAATTTTAGTTCTTAATTTTTCCTGAGCATCGAGTTGTACTACCGATTTACCTCATTTTCACCAGGGAATACATCCTTGATAGCCTTTTTGGCTTCTTCAACAGATGAAACGGCTACGCCTCTCGGAACGTTGACTCCGTATTTGCTCATCAATTCAGCTCCCTGATTTCATGGAAATTCACATGTCATTATTAGCGGCGCTCGATCAATCAATCAATCAACCAAAGAGCTTCGAAGAAACATAAACGATTTCGCAAATTACATATATTCAAGAAATTACAGAGTCATGATCCACAAAGACGATTTGTTATTGTTACTTTCTTTTTTTAATTAAAAAAATGGAGACACGAGAGGAATCTAAAATGAAAAGAAGTAACAGATTCGGCGAAGCTTGACCTTGATTAGAAATAAAATCGATAACGATGAGAGAGAGAGAGAGAGAGGAAGAAATAGACCTGGTACTCGTGGATGTTGAGGCGGCGGAGCTGGTGGTGCTGCCATTTGCCGGCGACGGAGAGGGAGCGTGAGACGAGTTTGTTGAGCAATCCTCTCACCATTGTCGTTATAGTGTTATGGATTTGAAGATCTTAGAGTCAAAATGGATTCGATTCAATTCTAGAGTGATAATGCCTCTGCCTCTTTTTGCTCCTTCAACCATAAACTACGTTCAAACAGTGTGTGCTGAGAACGCCAACCCCAGACCCTAGAATTTCTTTCTTCTTTTCTAGAAAAAAAAAAAGAAAAAAGAAAAAAGAAAAGAATATTCGAATTGATATTTGTAAGTTATGTATGTAATAAAATGAAAAATAAATTGGTAGGGTAATAAAATGAATTAATTATGATTTAGCTTATCAAAAGAAGTTAAAATTAAAAAAAGTATTTACTCTAATGATAATATTAATGGTGTTTACTGTACATATTTCTTATTGAATTTTGGTGTAACGGACAAAAAAAAAAGAGAGGAAAAGAAACAATAATAATAGTTTATTGTTATGAGATGTATAAAATTTATAAAGAAGTTTTTTATGTGTATATCATTATTTAATATAATGATTTCAAGAGTTAATTACAATTATTATTATATGGAAAAAATATTTATTCTTTTAAAGATATAACTTTGTGTCATTTTAGATTATAACCGTTGATTTTCGTCAATTAATAATTATAGTTTATTTTATTATATGAAAAAATATTTATCATTTTAAAGGATATAATTTTGTATCATTTTAGATTCTAACCGTTAATTTTCGTCAATTAATGATTATAATTTATTGCGAATTATTAATTGATTAATAAGTTCGACCCAATAAATTACAATTGTTAATTGACGAAAATTAAAGATTAAGATCTACAATAATACAAAGTTATATCTTTTTAAAAGATAAATATTTTTCCTTTATTATATATAAGTTGATATATCTGTGTGTTTTTTAGTATTTCCTATTTTTTTACTATAAAGCCAGCTACATAATTAGTATTTAGACCATAGAAAAAAAGCTACCTAATTAATATGCACAATATTCATTTAACTTTTCTCCATTTCATCTTTTGCCACATTTTTTGTATCTACATTTTTTTTAAGAAAATTATTTCAATATCTTATGTATTTTTCTATTCTTTTCTCTCTAGTGTTCCGATTAACCTCACAAGTATTCCTCAGTACTTATAAAATTCTTACAATTGTATTTTTTTATTTACGAAATTCTATATTGTCTTTACTTTTGAGAAAGGTTAATATAGATTCAAGCTTACAGTGAATTCAATGTGTGACAGCATGCTCACTGTTAAATTTCATGAGATGCATATATTTAGAGTTTTAAATGACGAATATACTGCTATTTGTTTAAAATATTGATGATAACAAATTTTGGCCACAACTTCCTAAAAGGTTTAGTGTGTGTCGTTTAAAATGATAGAAGTTGTGTTTTTTTAGTGACTTGGTATCAACGGTCATATTCTGTGTAATTTTGAAAAGTTACATTTTTTTTTAAATTTATACGTCAGTGATATGATTGAAAAGAGAAAAAAAATAACTTTTTAAATTTACACAAAATATAATCAATCATACTTTATGTACATCGTATGAAAGACTAACTTATATCCATTTAAATAATACTTGTTTTACCCATTCCTAAATGATGTCTATTAGTAGCATCGGTTTGGACGTGCGATTAAATAAATAAAAAACTAAAATAAAATAAAAGGAGGCGGCTTCAGGCCTGAAGGCCAAGGTCAGCATGACCTTAAAGCCCATCTACCTGCAAAAAAAATTGACAAAATCAGACTCATTTGATGCGAAATTTCTAATATACAACCGTACTTATATCTGTCCAATAAAAATACAATATATGTATTGACATTTTTTTGGAGAAAAAAAATTATATCATCAAATAATAATAGTTCAGTTAGCATGTGAGAGTTGAGCAGATGAAGTAAGAATATATATTCAATCATCTCCAATATCATTTTTGAAAAGAATTTAAAACTTTAATCTTGAACCTACCCCTAATAAAATTGGTTCCTGTAAAGAATACCATGGTTTATTAAAAAAAAATTATACCTGTTATCAAAAAAAAAACTTATTGGAGATATAAAAAAAATAAATAAATAAATAAATTATACCTGTTATCAAAAAAAAAAATTTATACCTATATATTACCTTAAATACTTTATTTATAATTTTATTTTAAACGGAAGTTAATACTCAGCAATAATAGTACCAAAGATGTTTTCAATTTGATGGGTTGAGCACGTAACTTTATCATAATCATGTCAACAGTCACACTAAATATAATAAAAATGTGTTATCAAAAAAAAATATATAATAAAAATGTGCCTATAATATCAACTTATATTATCATGTGTTATTCTATATAACAAACACGGCGTTACAACTTTGAACTTGTTGGTTTCTTGTACTTCGCTCAACTATCTGATTTTGCCTGGCCACATTAATGATGTATACTATATTATAATTTAGAGTTCCTCCAAAATTTTGTGACATGTAATTTATACAATGATTTGAATTCTCTTAAAAAGTGTAAACTTTTCATGTTAAATAAGTTTTTTAAAAATTTTATATTATATGCGTCATGGGCCAAATGAGACTTGATTCATGATGCAACTTAATTAATTTAAATATTAAATTAATAAAATTAATTTGAATTATAATTTTAAATTTTAAATTTTAAATTTTAAATTTTAAATTTAAATATAGCTATGAAATTAGATTTTATGACACTGGAGAAAATTAAGAAAATTAATTAATTAGATTGATTGGCTCAAATTAAGAAAACCAATTAATTAAATTGATTGACTAAAATTAGAGAAACCAATCAATTGTATTGATTAGATAAAAAAATAGAAATTACCCAATATGATTGGGAAGTGATAGGATGCTAATCAAGGGGTTAATTAGCCATTATATTTAGTTTCCTTTTTTCTTTTTTTAAATGAGATATTTTTCTTATTTTGCTCCTTCAAAAACCCTAGCCAAAAATTATTCCTATTGAAAAGTTTGCTAATGTGTTACTGCATTTTTTTGTTTTGTAATTGACTTATATACACATATTTCTTCGTTCTCTGTCTGATTTTCTTCTTCTTCTCAAGTTCTTCTACATTATGTATTTCGAATATGATTTTATAAAGGATCTTAATTCTACCAAGGAGGAGTGGAGGGTTAAGGTTAGGGTGGTTAGGACTTTGAAGGTTCCTAATTTGTATCAGAAAGATTTTGATGACAATGTGGAGATGGTTCTATTAGATGAACAGATAATACTTTTGATTTTTTATTTGGCATAACTGTTGTGAAATGATATACTTTGATTTTATTATTTTATTAATATGTACGTTTTGTAAGATGGAAGGATACATGCTGCTGTTGAATGTTCTTTACAAATCCGAAATAAAATTCGTGAAGGATATATTTATTTTATCAGAAATTTTGGAGTTGGTTTAAATAGTGACAATTTCATAAGATTAAGATAGAGAAAGAGTTAAGTACTTAACCATTATTTGTGTGTTTATAATTTTCTATTACATATTATTTCTATATTCTATATCATTAATATAGTATAGTGACCCCAACAAATATTTTTTTTAAATTAGTTCTATTGCTGATATTGGAGATACCTTGCTGAAGAAAGGGAAGTTGTGTATGGACGGAACTGCTAGAAAAGAAGTTGTGTAACATAAACATTGTTCTAGATGTTGTTGAACTATATATTTGAGAATTATTAGACAGTTAGAAAATATGCAATGTCTTAATATTTATTTGATGTTTGATTGAACAATTATGGATGATTGTCTAATGTTTAACATGAGGTTAAACATTAATTATTTGACGTTATGATATTTAATATGAAATAGGATATTGTTAATACTAATTCGTTTTACTATCAATGTCACAATGTCACTACCAGTTTATTTTACCATTAGATCGATTATATTGATCCAACGGTTATATTTATTTTCACCTTTGTATGGTTATGATTCTCCATATTTATTGTGAAAACATTAAATATGGAGAATCATAACCATACAAAGGTGGAAATAAATATAAAGTATTAATTGTAAGGAGAAGAAAAAAGGTTTTTATAAAGTTAAATAAGAGCCGTTGGATCTACATAATCGATCTAACGGTAAAACAAGCTGGTAGTGATATTGGTAGCAACACTAATTGGTAGTATCAATATCCTATCTCATTTAATATAATCTAAATTTTTTGTATTTGTTTTTCTTCTCATCTTCTTAAGTTAATCTTCTGTAATGATTAATATACAATAATTCGTTTATTCCTTGAAATTTGAAAATATTTATTTCTTTGTTTGATGACGAAAAAAGAAAAGTTTAATAAAATACATTTATGGTAAACCATTTTCAACTAAAAAAATGAAGAGATACATTCTGCAGTGTAAAATGGTATTTGTCATTCAAAATTTTATTATTCATGTGTCTACACTTCAACCGACTTCTTTTAATTTATATTTATTAGGAAGTTTGTTTTTTTGTTTTTTTATAAACTACATGTTAGTCTTTTAATTAATCTTGATTATTTTCTGAAAACGTATGATATTCCTTTTTTTTCTGAATCTTCTTTCAATGGTTGATTCTTCATTTTCTGTAAAGTGGGGAGCGAGAGAAATAGAGATAAATGCTACAGATGCCCCTAAAATCTCTTCTACGGGATTTCTTATTGCAGATTTTTGAAGTCACTAATATAATATTCTTAGAGTCTATTATAAACATCATTCAATATTAAGTTGCAAATCCCTAATCTATTATATCTTTTAATTATTTCTTTAATAATTGTGTTCTATAAAATTTATTTAAAATTTGTGTTAACTTTTACGAGACAAATAAACTGACTTATTTTTGTTCTCGATGCATCACACACCAGTAATAAACTAGTATAACTATATAAGAAGACAAAGATTGCTGGATAAAACAGTGAGAGGTAGAAGACAGTGATAAGTGAGATCGAGAATGGGGATCATCTGGTTGGGGTAAAAACACAGAAAGTACCTAATGACAACCACAAAATTTACCTTTGACAGGATGAATGAACATTTTCCACAATGGATTATCAAAATCCAAAGACTGGTAAATCATTGGAACAGAACATCTACTAGGAAGTTGCACGAAGGTAGAAATTGGTAATAAATTCATCCATCCAAACTTGGAGCAAGGTTGAAAGCTTGA